CAACCTTTGTAGGGGGACAGAGGCAGATGCTTACGCCCATCTACAATCCCCATCCACAACACCCTAGCAAAACCGAAACCTACTTGAAGGTAACAGCGCTCACTGTTGCCTCTAGTGGCCGGTTTCCATGTCATCTCCCGACGTCCTCACACATGGATGGATGTCGAATACTGACTTGTATCACGGGTGACCTGGCTGTTTTTTCTCTGATAGAGGACTGGGTTATAAGAGTAGGCACTGGGGTTTGGACTTCTACACACACACACACACACACACACACACACACACACACACACACACACACACACAGGCTTAACATACACTCACACATCCAAAGAAAACCCACAGGAGAAGAAGAGGCCAGTGGTGCTCCAGGGAGATATCAGTAATATCCAAGGTGATAACTGCTTTTGAGTGTGTGTGTGTTTGTGTGTGTGTGTGTGTGTGTGTGTGTGTGTGTGTGTGTGTGTGTGTGTGGACCCCAGACGAGGTGAACAGACAGCCAGGGAGCCAGAGACACAGACACTCTCATTTTTAGATCTAATGCATTTCCCCTCACTTTAGAACCAGGGAGGTCAGACAGAGGGGGCGAGAGGAGGAGGTACGGAAAGAAGAGATGGTAAGAGAGAGGAGGAGAGAGGAGGAGGTACGGAAAGGAGAGATGGAAAGAGAAAGGGGGAGAGAGGAGGAGGTACGGAAAGGAGAGATGGAAAGAGAGAGGAGGAGAGCGGAGGGAGGGTTACGGAAAAAAGGAGATTGGAAAGAGAGAGGGGAGAGAGGGGGGGAGGAGAGGGGGACACGGAAAGACAGAGATGGAAAGAGAGAGGGGGCGAGGTGGAGGGTACGGAAAAGGAGAGATGGAAAAGATGGAGAGGAGTGACGGAGGAGGAGGTACGGGAAAGAAGAGATGGAAAAGAGAGATGGGGGAGAAGAGGAGGAGGCACGGAAAGAAGAGATGGGAAAGAGAGAGGGGGAAGAGAGAAGAGAGGAGGTATGGCAAGAAGGATGGAAAGGGAGAGGAGGGGGAGGAGAGAGAGGAGGGTACGGAAAGAAGAGATGGAAAGAGAGAGGGGGAGAGAGGGGGGGCGCGTACGGAAAGAAGAGATGGAAAGAGAGAGGGGGAGAGAGGAGGCGGTATGGAAAGAAGAGATGGAAAAAGAGAGGGGGAGAGAGGAAGATGTATGAAGAGTAGAGATGGAAAGAGAGAGTGAAGTGAGAGATAAAGGGGGGAAGTAGGGAGGGAAGAGAGGGAGGGAGGGAGGGAGGGAGGAGGGAGGGAGGGAGGGGGGAGGGAGGGAGGGAGGGAGGGAGGGAGGGGAGGGAGGGAGGGAGGGGAGGGAGGGGACAGGAGAGGTAGGTACGGAGAGATGGGTAGGACGGGAGTGGGGAGGGAGGGAGGGCAGGGACAGCGAGGTAGGTAGGGAGAGATGGGGGAGGGAGGGAGGGCAGAGAGGAAGGTTACAGAGGAGATGGGGAGGGAGGGAGGGACAGAGAGGTAGGTAGGGAGAGATGGGGGAGGGAGGGAGGGACAGAGAGGAAGGTACAGAGAGATGGGGAGGGAGAGAGGGAGGGACAGAGAGGTAGGTAGGGAGAGATGGGGAGGGAGGGAGGGACAGAGAGGTAGGTAGGGAGAGATGGGGAGTGAGGGAGGGACAGAGAGGTAGGTAGGAAGAGATGGGGAGGGAGGGAGGGAGGGACAGAGATGAAGGTAGGGAGAGATGGGGAGGGAGGGAGGGAGGGACAGAGAGGAAGGTAGGGAGAGATGGGGAGGGTGGGAGGGACAGAGAGGTAGGTACAGATAGAGGAAAGGAAAGAGAGCCAAAGCGAAATCAAGAGAAAGAGAACGAGAGAGAGGGGGGAGAGGGAGACAAATGCAAAGGGAGCGAAGGTGGGAACGAGGGAGCGAGGGAGGGAGGGAGAGAGGGAAGGAGGGGTTGTTGACGACAGAGAGATTGGGTTCCCCTGTTTGGCACACACTGTCCAATCTGCCGGAAGGTGTGTGTGTGTGTGTGTGTGTGTGTGTGTGTGTGTGTGTGCGTGCATGTGTGTGCGTGTATGCATGTGTTTACGCTTGCGTGTGTGCGTGCGAATGTGTGCGTGTTAAGATGGGTTTCCCCTGCCTGGACTGAGATGAACTTTGCATTGCTTTTGTAATACTGACAAAAAACGCACACTTCTGCAGAGCTGTGTTTTCTCAGTACCTATGCTGACAACATTTAAAATGCTAATTGTTGAAGAATTACCATGCAGATGCAATTTAGAATAACATGTCAAATCCACAGTCATTACTCCCTGCTTTTATCTTTCACTAAAAGCATGTGCAGCAACAGCCTTTTTCTTTGAATAAAAATAAACCATGTTTTTGTTTGTCGTTTTGTTGTAATGTACAGTAATGGAAGCAATTACACACCGAGATGAGGAATGAGCAACAACATTATTGACTGCAGATACACACACACACACACACACACACACACCACTAAGAGTCCACACACACACGCAAGCACCACGCATGCATGTGCACACACACCCACCCCCACACACACACACACACACACACCACACACACACACACACACACACACACACACACACACACACACACACACTGACCTTCTCGCCTGTCCTCTGGGATGGCCTTGGCCTTGGTGTCTGTGATGTCTTTAAATGAAGCCAGGAAGAGCACCACGTCTCCCTTCTCATTCTTAATGGGGACAATTTCCAGCAGGCACCAGAACAACGATGCTGCAGTAGACAGACACACACACACACACGTTATACACATGATACGCGTACAGCGGAGTAGGGTGAAGTTGCCCCTAGACACTGATCTTGAGTCAGTTTTGCATTTTCCTCAGTAATGGTTAAGGTTAGGCTTGGGGCAGGGGAAGCTGATCCTAGCTCTGTACCTAAGGGAAACTACCCCAGAGCCACACTACAGTACGGCCATGCTACTGTATACGTGACCAATCATCTGAAATAAGGTTAAACTTCTGATTGGTTGATGTTCTGTTTTTGGCTATTTTTTAAGACTTTTTATCTGTTAAGAGGTTAAAGTACAGATTCAGAGCTTCAAAATGTTGTATCATATGCTGCACAACACACATTATAATCACATTACCAATCAAGATATCTAATACAGACATTACACGTTATAATCACACTACAAATCAAGACACATTATAATCACATTACAAATCAAGACACATTATAATCACATTACAACAAGACACATTATAATCACATTACAAATGAAGACACATTATAATCACATTACAAGACACATTATAATCACATTACAACAAGACACCATTATAATCACATTACAAATCAAGTCACATTATAATCACATGACAACAGACACATTATAATCACATTACAAATAAAGACACATTATAATCACATTACAAGACACATTATAATCACATTACAACAAGACACATTATAATCACATTACAAATTAAGACACATTATAATCACATTACAACAAGTCACATTATAATCACATTACAAATGAAGACACATTATAATCACATTACAAGACACATTATAATCACATTACAAATCAAGACACATTATAATCACATTACAACAAGACACATTATAATCACATTACAAATGAAGACACATTATAATCACATTACAAGACACATTATAATCACATTACAACAAGACACATTATAATCACATTACAAATCAAGTCACATTATAATCACATGACAACAAGACACATTATAATCACATTACAAATAAAGACACATTATAATCACATTACAAGACACATTATAATCACATTACAACAAGACACATTATAATCACATTACAAATGAAGACACATTATAATCACATTACAACAAGTCACATTATAATCACATTACAACAAGACACATTATAATCACATTACAAATAAAGACACATTATAATCACATTACAAGACACATTACAATCACATTACAACAAGACACATTATAATCACATTACAAATAAAGACACATTATAATCACATTACAAGACACATTATAATCACATTACAGCAAGACACATTATAATCACATTACAACAAGACACATTATAATCACATTACAAATGAAGACACATTATAATCACATTACAACAAGACACATTATAATCACATTACAAATGAAGACACATTATAATCACATTACAACAAGTCACATTATAATCACATTACAACAAGACACATTATAATCACATTACAAATGAAGACACATTATAATCACATTACAACAAGACACATTATAATCACATTACAAATGAAGACACATTATAATCACATTACAACAAGTCACATTATTATCACATTACAACAAGACATATTATAATCACATTACACATCAAGTTATGTAATACAGACAACAGATTATACTCTGAAGCACGCCAGATATGTACAGTATAATACAGATGCATGGAAGCAGTCAAACACATTCCCTGAAAACCTAGCAGGAGTTCTGTAGGTGTGTGTGTGTGTGTGTGGGTTCCTGCACACTATTCCCCAGGCACACTATGCCCCAAGTACAAGTTTAAAAGAACAAATATCTAAGTCAGGGGATCTCTGTAAGAATTATGCAATCTTGGTAAATAATGGTAAAATCTGAGAAATGTTGGTGAAATACTGTATATGTGTGTAGTCTAGTGTGTAAGTGCGGGCATGTGTGTGTGTGTGAAGTGTATAAAATGTGTTAGTCTGTGTGCTTTAGAGACTGTATGAATGTGCTCTCTGTCAAGAATAGTATGTGTACTGTATGTAGTATGAATAGTATGCAATGTACTGTATGTAGTATAAATAGTATGTAATGTACTGTATGTAGTATGAATAGTATGTAATGTACTGTATGTAGTATGAATAGTATGTAATGTACTGTATGTAGTATGAATAGTATGTAATGTATGTAGTATGTAAAATGAGATTCCTGTTGAGCTCTCATGGATCTATAACCTTACACCCACCTCTCTCTTCCACTCTTTCTCTCTCTCTCTCTCTAAATCTCCCTCTCCTCTAAATTGCCCATCACTTTAAGGTCCATTCTGTAAGATTTCCACATATTATTAGACCTTAATGCACATGTCAAATAAGTGTCCAAGTAACCTTTGCATGAATAGTATCCGAGCAACTAAACTTGATGGTGGAATGTAAGTGATTCAGTCAAGACATATTGATGTTGCTGCCAAGATATTGATGTGAAAGAACTGAACAAGTGAGAGCATATTCATAGTAAGCAGCCACCATCTTGTTTTCACCTATCCTGGGTCTTCAGAAGGAGGACAGGAGATGAGTAGTGGAGTCCAACTGTAGCAGACTTCAACACACACACACACACCTTTCCTTACCTGTCTTCTTGTAGAACATGATCTCTTCCTTGAACTCCTTGCGTTCGTCCAGGGCATCGTCGATGCTGAGGATGATGGTCTCGCTGCTCTCTGGGCCGTACAGGAACTTACAGGCACAGCTCTTCTGCATGACTTCAGCGCGAGAGAAGCCTGTGAGCTCACAGAAGCCATCTGAACAGTAGACAATGGGGAAGCCTTGGGCCTTGGACACCTGGGCATTAGCCAGGATGAAGTTGCTGTCTGGTGGAATCAAAGATAAATAAATACATGGTCGCATTCATTAGTGCAAACCGTAGCAAAATGTTTTGGAATGGAAAAACTTTTTCCAACAAAGGTGAGAGTTTCTTATTGGACAAGTTCAGGTAGTCCCTCCTCATTTAGGTCAGTTTTCTTTCATTTTAGTTTCTAGTGAATACGACCCTGGTTTAGACAGTGATGATGTAAGTTTAGGCCAGGATAAAGTTGTTGTCTGGTAAATTTTTTTACATTTTCACATTTTAGTCATTTAGCAGACGCTCTTATCCAGAGCGACTTACAGTTTAGTGCATACATTATTATTATTTTATTTTTTTAAATGGGAATCGAACCCACAACCCTGGCGTTGCAAACACCATGCTCTACCAACTGAGCTACATCCCTGCCGGCTGTCACGGTTTCGGCCGAGACTGTCTCCTCTCCTGGTTCGGGCAGGCAAAGGGTTCGCCCGTCCCCGGAGCCCCAGTAACTAGCTGCCCACCGTTGGATGTTTCATGTGCGATTTTGCTTTTGTCTGTCACTTTTCACCTGTGTCTGGTTTGCGTTGAATTACATGTCCTATAAGGTTCCCTGTGTTCGTATGGGAGTAGGTTGTGTGTTGTTTTTCGCCAGTCGTTTGTGTTACGTGTCGTGTTTTGGTATTTTGTTAATTACGTTGTTTTTTTTGGGAAATTTTCGCCCCCCTTTTTTTTTGATTTTTTTTTTTTTTTTTTTTTTGGGGTTTAAATTTTTTAAGTTTTTGGGGGCCCCCCCAACCCCCCTTTTCCCGGCCTTCCTTTCCCTCCCCCACCTACCAATTTTCCCCCCCCAGGGGCTCCCTCCCCACCCCCTGGTTAAAAATTTTAAAAAGGGGGGATGCAGGCCAACCGGCCCCCAATTTAAAGAAAAAAAAAGTCCCTTTTAAAAAATTGAAGGGCTACCCAACCGGGGAAAAGGTTTCCAAAAAAAGAAAGGGGCCGGATTTCCATTTTTGACGGGAGGAGGGGGGGGATTTGGAAAGGGAAGGGGTTTAAAAAATTTTGGGAAAAAAAGGGGGGGGGAAAAGCCCAGGGGGCCGGGGGTTTTTAAGGAAAAATGCCCTTTTCCCCCCCCTGGGGGTTTTGGGGGGGGTATGTCTTTGGAAAAAGGGGGAAAAAGGGGATTTGGGGAAAATTTTTTTCCGGGGTTTAATTGAGCCTTAAATGAAAAAACCCAAAAGGGGGAATTTTTAAAAAAAGTTTGGGGAAAAAAGAAAAGCGAAAATGGGACCCCCCCTTTTGGAAAGGGACGAATTTAACAAAAGGGGGGGGGGGGGGTGGGTTTTTGGGGGGGGGGGGGGGGTTGGGGGGGGGGGGGTTGGGGGTTTGGGGGGGGGGGTTGGGAGGCAAGGGGGGCAAGGGGGTTAGAAAAAAAAACAAAAAGGGAAAAACCCTTCCCAAATTTTTGATCTTTTACATATAAACTTACTGCGGGGGTTAAAAAGCAATTTTTTCCGCAAATTTTTTTTTTTTTCCCAAAAAAAATTTTGTCGCCTCCCCTTTTCCCCACGAGGGTTTTTTTAAAAATTTTTAAGCCCCTTAACCTTTCAAAAAAACCAAAAATTTTTTTTTAAAAACGGTTCAAAAAATTGCAAAACCTTAACGAGGGATTCCCTTTTAAAACTTTAAATCCAAAATTTTCTTTCCAAAAACCCGACCAAAATTCTATTGAAGGGAAGTTTTTTTTTTATTTTTATACAATTCCATTTTTATCCTAACCACCCTTGGGGCCCCGTTGCCAACCCAACCAAACCCATGCCCCACCCCAAACTCCCCAAAAACCAATAAAACCCCTAGGGGGGCCAAGAAAGGCCCCCCTTCTGGGCCCAAAAACCCCCCCCTTTTTTTTTCCTGGCCCCCCCGTAAACCCCCCCCCCAAGGGGGAGGCGAACTTAGCCAAGGGAATTACCCCGGGGGGGGGTTGGTTTTTTGGGGGTGTGAAAAACTAGTAGGCAATTAGGGAATGTGTCATTGGGATGCAACCTTTCTCTTGTTGCCTGGAGCTTAATTGAGCCATTAAAGTGACAAATTGCTCACAGAGTGACACACCTGTTTAACCAATCTAAAGCAGACGCTGGTCTGAGAGAACAGAAACTAGCAGACAGACACTGAGGACCAAAGTTACCCATCACCTGCTATAGTTAGAGAGTTACTGAAGTGTGAACAGAGGAGGGTGGGTGGTGGTGGTGGGTGGTGGGTGGTTGGTGGGTGGTGGTGGGTGGGTGGTGGTTGGGTGGTGGGTGGGTGGTGGGTGGTTGGTGGGTGGGTGTGTGAGGCAAGAGCAAGGAGGGTGAGAAAAAATCTTCAGGTCTATTAATTAAGCTATTATGCCTTCTTGACCTAAACTGTTATGCGAATCTGTTAAATTAATCATGATCACCAAGGCATTGATCTAAGACTTAGAGTAGGATTACTATAGCTATTCATTACAACTGCAATTGTTTTCATGTTGTTTCATCCCAAAATAAATGTTCTGCCTCAGCCCTATCTTTTCCCACCATCGATTTGACGATTTGATACATAATTGTTTAATGTCTCGTGTCAACCTTTGTCAAAGGAAACGACAGTAATTCTGTGTTAAAATACGGCGCTTCAGAACCAGAATGCTTGTACACGTCCTTCAACGAGGAGAGGTTCCATTTCATAATTGCTTTAATCACACAGAGTTCTATCTGTCTCCACACTCTCTGACCTGCTGAAGAGATTCTTGAGTCTGAAGCGGAAGACCACCTTTTTTAATGTTTTTATTTGCATCAGCAGAATGTGCCATGTTATAGGCCTGACAGCAGCATGCCTTGGGACAGCTGTCAGGAGGCTGTACCGAACACACACACACAAGCTCATGCATGCACGCACAAACACACACACATGCACACACACACAAACACACCCTCCAGACACTGAGTGAGGACCAGACAGACAGGACCAGACATCTCAGAGGAACCAGAGACAGACCCCACATTCCTAACTCCTTTCCCTCGCGTCCCGCCTGTCCAACAGCCCCCCTCTGAGAGGAGGAGAGGCTGAAGCTTAGCCTTAAGAGACGTTTACCCAAGTGTGTGTGTGTGTGTGCGTTTATGCGTGCGTATGTGTGTGTGCCACAAACACACACACACACACACACACACACACACACACACACACACACACACACACACACACACCATACACACACACACACACACATACACACACACACACACACACACACACACACATACACACATACACATACACATACACATAGGTGTTCCCATCTGGATGTGGCTTGCTCTTTAATGGCCCAGATTGAATACAGGCTTGGGACTGATTTGGGGCAGTGGGGATTGCAGACACTTTTGAATAATCAGAAGCAACTTGTAATCTCAACCCAACCTTACACTTTCACCCATTCAATCCCCTCACTTCCCCCCGTCAGCAACCACTCCACTTCTCCTAGCAATCCATCTCTCCTCTCCTTCATTCTCTTTTAATCTCTCCCCTTCATTCAGTCGCTCTACTCACTTCCCTTCCCTCTCCCTCCATGTCTAACAGCCTCTGTTCTGTATCCATAGGTTTCCCCCCTTTCACTTCCCCACATAATCTATTCTACACCCTTCTATCCCTCCCTCTCTCCCTCCCCCTACATCTCTCCCCCTCTCCCCATCCTTTAGGCTGTGCGATGGTACCCCTCTACCTCCTCCCTCCTTCTCTCCTCCCACCCCTCCATCGCTTCTCTCTGCTCCATTCCTCTCTCCATCTCTCCTCCCAGCTGCTCTCCGTCTCCGTCTCCCTCCTACTGTTCTGGGTCTCACTGTCTAATTACTCTTCCTCTTCTCCCAACCCCCAGAATCCCTCAATCTATCCCTTTTATTCCCTCTCTCCATCCCTCTTATTCCCTCCAACTTCTGTTACACTTGCCCTTTCATCCATCAATCCATCATTCACGCTACTCTCTCTCTGTACTCTCTCCACCCTTACCTTCCCTCTCCTCTAGACCTCTACATGCTTCATCCCTCTATAGTCTACTATCTCCACCTGTCCTTGGATTCCCCTTCTTCATCCTCACATCTTCTTTACGCACTCCATTTTCTCCTCCCTCCTCTCCACCACCTTCTCCTCCCTCCTCTCCACCATCTTCTTCTCCCTCCTCTCCACCACCTTCTCATCCCTCCTCTCCAGCACCTTCTTCAATTTTTTTTTTACATTTTTACATTTTAGTCATTTAGCAGACGCTCTTATCCAGAGCGACTTACAGTTAGGGAGTGCATACATTCTTTTTTTTCGTTTTTTCATACTGGCCCCCCGTGGGAATCAAACCCACAACCCTGGCATTGCAAACGCCATGCTCTACCAACTGAGCTTAGACCACTGCGCCACTCGGGAGGTTCTCCCTCCGCTCCACCATCTTCTCCTCCCTCCTCTCTACCATCTTCTCCTCCCTCCTCTCCACCATCTTCTTCTCCCTCCTCTCCACCATCTTCTCCTCCCTCCTCTCCACCATCTTCTCCTCCCTCCTCTCCACCATCTTCTTCTCCCTCCTCTCCACCATCTTCTCCTCCCTCCTCTCCACCATATTTTCCTCCCTCCTTTCCACCATATTCTCCTCTCCTGTCTAATTGCTGAAGTGTAACAGCCAATAGATCATCTCCCCCTGTGCTCACACTCTATCTGACAGCTGCATGAGAGTCCCCACAGGGAAGGAGAGAGGGAGAGAGAGAGAGAGAGAGAGAGAGAGAGAGAGAGAGAGAGAGAGAGAGAGAGAGAGAGAGAGAGAGAGGAGAGAGAGACGAGAGAGAGAGGAGAGAGAGAGAGAGAGAGAGAGAGAGAGAGAGAAAGAAGGGAGGAAGGGAGAAAGAGAGAAGGAGAGAAGGCGAGAGGGAGGAGGAAAGAAGATAGAGGGGAGGGAGGGAGGGAGGGAGTGAAGGTTGAGAGAAGATATTTAAAAGAGGAATGGAGGAGATAGAATGAGAAAGTTATGGATGAAAGGGAAGAAGAACTAGAACACTGACAGAGAAATAAAAGAGGAGAAGAAATATATGAAAACAGGGATTGAAAAGGAGAGGGAAGACTAAATAACGTGTCCAAGTAGAGAAGGCTAGAGTAGAAGGAGATGAGAGGAGAGAGGAATCCCCAACGGAATGCTTGAAGCCACACCCCCTCATCACCTCCACCTATCGTGCGTCCCAAATGGCACCTTATTCCAGTCCCTCCAGTATTTCGCAGCATTCTGTTGTGATATTTGCGGGAAAACTACTTGGTTTTGCTGCTGCAATTCTGACATTTTGCAAGGCAATATGCAATGATTTTGTCCAATTTGTCACGAAAACGCACTTAGGACAGAGGTCAGGTCAAATTGATCCTACACCACAGCTCAGGGACACGTTTTCTCCTAGAGAGAAAAATAGAAACAAGCAGTCTGCCGTGTGCTAAAAGGAGATCCCCCCCGTACACACACACACACACACACACACACACACACAGTCACACACAAGCACACACACACAAGCACAGACACACACACAGTCACACGCACACCCATGTCATATCTGAGGTCCAAACTCATTATTCAGCTCTCTGCTAGGTGGGTCAGGACAGGGGAATCTGTAGAGTTACAAAGTGCAGCATCAGGTATACTGTACCTCCCTCTCTTTACTCTTCTGAACAAGGTGAGGTAGGGGGGGGATTCTCAACCACGTTCTGCTCCGCTCTGCCCCAGATGTGAGTTTTATAACACATACACACACACACAGACACACAGATACATACACACCCCTCCTCGACACCCCTATCCCAAACACCTCAGCTATTTACAGAATTCTAGTGATTTGTGAACTGAACGAGAGTGGGGTAAAAATTGATAGATGGCGAGATGGAGAGAAGGAGAGAAGGAGAGAAGGGGAGAGTGACAGTGAGAGACAGAAGGACAAAGAGAGCTGTAGGGAGAGATGAATGGAGGGACAAGAGGAGGAAGGGAGGGAGGGATGATGGAGGGACAAGAGGAGGGAGGGGTGGATGGAGGGACAAGAGGAGGGAGGGGTGGATGGAGGGACAAGAGGAGGGAGGGGGGGATGGAGGGACACGAGGGAGGGAGGGGTGGATGGAGGGACACGAGGAGGGAGGGGTGGATGGAGGGGACACGAGGAGGGAGGGGGGTGGATGGAGGGACAAGAGGAGGGAGGGGTGGATGGAGGGACAAGAGGAGGGAGGGGTGGATGGAGGGACACGAGGAGGGAGGGATGGATGGAGGAGGAACAAGAGGAGGGAGGGATGGATGGAGGGACAAGAGGAGGGAGGGATGGATGGAGGGACAAGAGGAGGGAGGGGTGGATGGAGGGACAAGAGGAGGGAGGGGTGGATGGAGGGACAAGAGGAGGGAGGGGTGGATGGAGGGACACGAGGAGGGAGGGGTGGATGGAGGGACACGAGGAGGGAGGGGTGGATGGAGGGACACGAGGAGGGAGGGGGTAGATGGAGGGACAAGAGGAGGGAGGGGTGGATGGAGGGACACGAGGAGGGAGGGATGGATGGAGGGACAAGAGGAGGGAGGGATGGATGGAGGGACCAGAGGAGGGAGGGATGGATGGAGGAACAAGAGGAGGGAGGGATGGATGGAGGGACAAGAGGAGGGATGGATGCATGGAGGGACAAGAGGAGGGAGAGGGACAAGAGGAGGGAGAGGGACAAGAGGAGGGAGGGGTGGATGGAGGGACACGAGGAGGGAGGGATGGATGGATGGAGGGACAAGAGGAGGGAGGGGTGGATGGAGGGACACGAGGAGGGAGGGATGGATGGAGGGACAAGAGGAGGGAGAGGGACAAGAGGAGGGAGGGATGGATGGAGGGACAGAGGAGGGAGAGGGACAAGAGGAGGGAGGGATGGATTAAGCCTGATGAATTTGCTGTGTTAAATGAGGCCTCACCTCCTGGTTACACTAGTGACCATATTCCCCGTGCATCCCGCAAAGGCGGAGGTGTTGCTAACATTTACGATAGCAAATTTCAATTTACAAAAAAAAAAATGGCGTTTTCGTCTTTTGAGCTTCTAGTCATGAAATCTATGCAGCCTACTCAATCACTTTTTATAGCTACTGTTTACAGGCCTCCTGGGCCATATACAGCGTTCCTCTCTGAGTTTCCTGAATTCCTATCAGACCTTGTAGTCATAGCAGATCATATTCTAATTTTTGGTGATTTTAATATTCACATGGAGAAGTCCACAGACCCACTCCAAAAGTCTTTCGGAGCCATCATCGACTCAGTGGGTTTTGTCCAACATGTCTCTGGACCTACTCACTGCCACAGTCATACTCTGGACCTAGTTTTGTCCCATGGAATAATGTTGTAGATCTTAATGTTTTTCCACAAAATCCTGGACTATCGGACCACCATTTTATTACGTTTGCAATCGCAACAAATAATCTGCTCAGACCCCAACCAAGGAGCATCAAAAGTCGTGCTATAAATTCTCAGACAACACAAAAATTCCTTGATGCCCTTCCAGACTCCTTCTGCCTACCCAAGGACGTCAGAGGACAAAAATCAGTTAACCACTTAACTGAGGAACTCAATTTAACCTTGCGCAATAGCCTAGATGCAGTTGCACCCCTAAAAACGAAAAACATTTGTCATAAGAAACTAGCTCCCTGGTATACAGAAAATACCCGAGCTTTGAAGCAAGCTTCCAGGAAATTGGAACGGAAATGGCGCCACACCAAACTGGAAGTCTTCCGACTAGCTTGGAAAGACAGTACCGTGCAGTACCGAAGAGCCCTCACTGCTGCTCGATCATCCTACTTTTCCAACTTAATCGAGGAGGAAAATAAGAACAATCCAAAATTTCTATTTGATACTGTTGCAAAGCTAACTAAAAAGCAGCATTCCCCAAGAGAGGATGGCTTTCACTTCAGCAGTAATAAATTCATGAACTTCTTTGAGGAAAAGATCATGACCATTAGAAAGCAAATTACGGACTCCTCTTTGAATCTGCGTATTCCTCCAGGGCTTAGCTGTCCTGGATCTGCACAGCTCTGCGAGGGCCTGGGATCGGGGAGAGACACTTAAGTGTTTTAGTACTATATCTCTTGACACAATGATGAAAATAATCATGGCCTCTAAACCTTCAAGCTGCATACTGGATCCTATTCCTACTAAACTGCTGAAGGAGCTGCTTCCTGTGCTTGGCCCTCCTATGTTGAACATAATAAACAGCTCTCTATCCACCGGATGTGTACCAAACTCACTAAAAGTGGCAGTGATAAAGCCTCTCTTGAAAAACAAACCTTGACCCGGAAAATATAAAAAACTATCGGCCTATATCGAATCTTCCATTCCTCTCAAAAATTTTAGAAAAAGCTGTTGCGCAGCAACTCACTGCCTTTCTGAAGACAAACAATGTATACGAAATGCTTCAGTCTTGTTTTAGACCCCATCATAGCACTGAGACTGCACTTGTGAAGGTGGTAAATGACCTTTTAATGGCATC